CCTAACTCGGAATTCGGAGTGGACAAAAGAGTTTGGCAGCGAGGGAAACTAGATGGCGTCCGGCTGCACGTCACGATTATTATTATTTTTTGGTAAACAGACGCAAAACAAGCGATGGGTTCGTTGATTGTGTACAGGGGATGTTAGTACATAATAGAGCGAGGACGGTTCTGCAGAACACGGCATTACAGAGGCGTTCGAGGAGTCGTCGTTGGGGAATATCATGGAGCCGGGGCGGGAACTTTCACTGGTCGTTGACTATGGCATCTATTCACGAGATTCGAGGTTACTAATTATAACTTCTGGTACTGCCGTTTGCTGTGTTCCTCTTGCATTGCTTTGTAGCGGCTATGCTCTCTCTATCTACGCGCCGGTCGCCTAACAATACCAGTACATCATATATATCGTAGTCCGATCATAGCGGGATTCGTAGGAGCAATAAAGCACAATTAAATTCATTTACTATCTTCGATTCTATATATCGTGAACGTGAACCCCTATAAAGCGCCAGCACCCAGCCCAATCTCCCAAATGCGTCCCCTCATCCGCCCCTACAGGTTTCGCTTCATTGGTGTCCTCGGTGAGGCGCTTATTCTCCATCAAGCAAAGACCAGCAAGCCACGCCGACCTTTCGTCTTCGCAACCAGATTGGTCCCCGCGATATGAAAACCAACAGAGAACAGGGGGTGCCGTACCGAGAACACCAATGAAGCGAACCATATAAGCGCAGGTAAAGGAAAGGCATCTGGGGGACTGGGTTGGGTAGTGGCACTTGGGAACTCACGGGTCCGGAATTGAGGTGATGGTGAAGTTCTGGGGGAAAATTCCGCTGCTTGGAGATTTGGCTTGGTTTTATTACCCACATGAGTAGGGTTGTGTTTACCAGGTACTAAGCAGGCACCCCGTTTCTATGCTTGTCACCGGTCTGTCGTGTACGGTACGACGCACTAGAGATAGGAATCGGGCGCCGGTTGGAGGTGGGTAATGGATTGTATCATGCTCAGCCATTTGGGCATCTCGAACATATCCCCAACAGCGACCACCGAAATTGAACAGAATGGGTGGGACCCAGGGGGTTGGTGGGTACCTATACGGACTGGATCGGGGATTCACTATCACGTTGTATGGTACGATTCAAGTTTGCATGAATTGTACACATGGCGCATTAATCCACGAGCGCAAGTCGACAGGAAGGAGGACGGAGGGAAATAAACAGAATATGGGTATGAGCCCAGACATGTACACGAGAGACAACCAGAAGAGAACACCATCCCCGGACCCAGAACGCCAATAACCATGCCTGAGAGGTATCATCTCGCTCTGACAAATTTCGCCGTGGCTTCGAGGCCCGGTTACGCCTCGGAGTGCCGCTTCTTCTTTTTCTTCTTTTTCTCCCCATCGGCTTCGGCGTCTGCATCCGCGGTGTCCTCGACATCGGCTTGCTTGCGCTTCTTGTCCTTCTTGTCCTTCTTATCCTCCTTGTCCTTTTTCTCCTTCTTCTCCTTCTTGTCCTTGGATTTCTTCTCCTTTTTCGGCGTTTGTGTGCTGGATGGGAGCGGAGCATCGATCATTTCAGTGTCAATAGCCATGGACTCGCCTTCCGCCAACAAATCCGCCACAGCCTTGTCCTATCGAGACGTCAGCAACGTAAAACGTAGTCAGTAAGGGATACACTCACCATTGCGTCGGCATTCTTGATTGGTTTTTTGCCTGTAGCATAGAATTCGAGTCTGTCTTCAACCTGGTTACGTAGGACTTCGCCAAACTTCCTAGAGGGCTGCTCGGAGAAATTATCGATACGCGCGCTTCAATAAATCAGCAAACACCCTTATAGATAGTAATCAGGAGTAAGGGGAAACGCGAGATGTTGGGGAAAAACTTACGCAATACTACATTTGTTCGCGAGATATCTACTCACACGGCCCTTGTCCTTTTGGGACGCCCTGCCGATAAAACTGCTGTGGAAGATGAGACCGTACTTGGGGGTATTACTAGAAAGAATTAAGAAATTAGCCACGAACAGTTGGGTGTGTCACCAGGGTGCCAGGCTCGAGGGATCGAAAAGTTGTCAACACTAACCTCTTTGTTTTCAGGGCTCTGAAAAGCGCCTTCTCTGCACCAAGAATCTGGAGCGTTGAAGCAGGATATTTTGACAAGTTTGTTAATGAACCAGCTTTCTGGATCAGGCGTGCTGCAACCACATCGCCAACTATCGCAGAGCCAGAGTCAGTGATTAAAATTGACAAGACCTATGACGACTTTTTGAGACTTCGGGGGGGCAAAGAGTCTCAAGTCCGCCAAAACGCAAAACACAGCGAAAGATTACTAACTCAAAGTAGCGAGGTTTGGCGCGACCGTGCCCATTTTGTCAGTTAGGTAGGAGTACAGGGTTCTCCGGTATTCTGTAGGTAATATATCAGTATTTGCGAATAGAATATCATGAATGCCTGAGCCTCACCTGCCAAACTTTGCACCTTTTCCGCAAATGTGAGGACGTTCTCAAGATCGACAGCACTTAGCTCTCTTCCCATAGACATTCTCGCCTTAAGGATGATCTCAGTGGCCTTTTCCTCATCTTCGCCCAGAAGCCCAGCCAGCTCATGGAGCTTGTCATCGCTCAGTGTGCTTTTGTCTCCCACGAAGCGTGCTACCTTGGCATAATTGAGGTTGTCGGAACAGATTGCATACTATACGGTCCAGTCAGCAAGTATTCTATAGTGGAGGCATCAATGGACCACTCACCAACTCCGGAAAATGCCAGCTGTACCATTCCCGTCTTTATTACACAAAATTAGAAATTATTACTTTGCCGATACGTTATGCGAGAGGTATTGAACGGTAGACCCATCAAAAGAAGATTTGCTCTGAGGGTTGATCATCGCGGGAAAAGGTTGAGTGTTCGTTTTACTTACAGCTTTTGAGAAAAGAGGTTGATGCCCTGAAGCAGGAGTCAGTAATCGGCGCTTGCGTTAACAAATCATCAGAATCATACCTTATCCAGATTGTCCAAACTGTCCAGTCTGATGTTAACAAGGGTCTAGTTAGGGTGGATCTTCAGAATTCTACATACGTAGCAATGGCACGGATAACTAGAAATATTGTCAGTAACTGTTCGTTCGAGAATGTTGGATGAGCGTATCGCAGTTATCCCACATAGAAGGAAGAATACAAATTAGGGCCGGATATTCCAGCTACCAACAACCTTGCAAATGAAATGCGGAAATATATGACGATGGCGAAACTTACTATGGTTATCATTGCGGTGGACATTGAACTTGACCTTACTCCGGGAGTCTTATGGGGCACAAGTCAGCAGATTGCGATCAAAGAGGACCGAGTATGAGTGCGCCCTACAGGCATGTCCGAGACCCAGCTGGGCCTTTTCTTCGTCGCCTTCGTTCAAATCCTTAAATAGTTTGGACGAGTGTAAACGAATACCGCGCAGCAGATATGCTACTGCGTCGGAAGTGTCGCTAGTTTCAGCCTCAATTCCTGGAAACGCGGCTTTGATATTTCCCGCAAGGTTCTTATCGGCGACACCGAGGACAATTTTGCTCTTCTTCGATTGGGGTACGTTCAGCTCGATGGTGGATTTCAGGTAGTCGGTCATTAAGCCTTCGCTGATGGAATGGATGTTCTCTAAGGCTTCGGCCGCCGACCTCCAGACCGCATAGGAGGTGAGACTAATCATCTTGCCAAGCTTGGACAGGTCGTCCGCAGCCTTCTTCACCTCCTCCGTCCTTAATGCAATTTCATCCTGTTGGTGGACTACCTTGAAGAGGGCGTATCCGGTTGCAGACTAATCCGAATATCAGCACTCAATTACAGAGAGACGCGATAAAATCACCAGAAATGCTAACCTCATGCAGCAGATAATCGAGGCGCGCCATGATTGCAATTGAAGTCGATCGTGGCGGCTTGTTGCTTAGTGTTCGCGAAACCCCGAGCCGTGGGTGTGTCTAGGAAAAATTGGCGGTCGAAAGAGGCGCAATTGACGTTGCGACTATGTTCACAACCCACAGTAGCTACACCACGTCGATAGGGCGCCCAGAACACGGTGGGATCGATCTGTCGCGATTGCAGAGAGAGATTGAGAGGGTGAAGCCTCAAAAAAATTTTGGATCCAAAGCTCTACCGCACCTTAGCTCTTTGGTAGGTGACTCCACTTCCCCGATAAGGCGGTAAGTACCTAAGTACCCTCTGACTCGGTGAATATTCGGTTAAACCTGAGTCCGACCCTGTTAATGCATATATCTACTCTGCATAACAGACTATTTTACTTTGATACATAAGGGTCCATTATAATGGAGTTGCCAGGTTATGATGTGAAGCACCGATGATTGACAAGTTCAGAAAGTTGCGACTCTTCTATCTAGGGCCCAAGGTGAGCTACCTCGAGAAGTTATGACATTTCTCTTCTTAGTCTCATCGCTCCAGTTTACTTTACTTGTTTCAAGGAAATCCGTTTCGCTCGACGCTGCATAGTCTCTGTTCAAAAGGATGCGACCAAAGATGGCTTGCGTCCATAATATTTCCCCCCTTGATGATCGCGCTCAGGTTGAAGTTAGGCCAGCTAACCGAAGATTCAACGTCAAGTCCAGCTTCTACCTACTCCAGCCCTATCAATCATCCTCCTGAAATTTCGATTCTGATTTGAATATCGTCCACCCGGCTCAGGGTTGTATGTCTTCGATGTTTGATCCTGCCCCCTTCTGAACATCGAGTCCAGTCGTATTGCCTGGCCTGTTTGCCTGAAGACCTATGATAGAACATCCTCCTGAATATTGTATGAAGAATTGACGTGAACAAAGGGTTCCTAGACAGTCAAAACACACGCCAACTACGCGTGCTTACATACAATAGCACCTGGACGACCGATAGCCGGCAACATTCTTCTGACCCAGAGTTGCTTTGTTGCCCAATGGATTCTGGGATGTGGATATTGTGGATCTACCACCAGCATGTAGCATCCATACAAGACTCTGCGCTCTCATCAATCTGCCCGGTTAGCTCAATCGGTAGAGCGTGAGACTCTTAATCTCAAGGTTGCGGGTAAGAAGTTGCATGTTCAATACATTACCGAGTCACCCAAAAACTAACAATTTGAATAGGTTCGACCCCCGCATCGGGCTCAATTCCTGATGCTCCCCAGTCCACTAGGGATAGCAGCCTCTTTTTTTCTCGGACTTCAACTGCTAGGATTGCTGGGCTGGAGGGCTCATTACGGCACAATGACCTTTCGGTCCTGGCACTGACAATGCAACCAGTTTTTTCTCGGGAATCGGCTTACCTGGGTCGCCAACGTACCTATCCAGATATTTCTCCCTTCCCCAATACAACAGGGGCTAGTGAAACAATCAATGAACTTTGAATCTACCGAAAAAGTTCATAATATGTCGCAAATTAGTGCGAGAAGCCTGGCAGGGTCGTCTGGTGGACAGTGAATAGTTCAGTTTGTCCGTCGTAAGCCGTTTTCTTTTCCAGCCCACTGTCAACACGACCAGCAGCGCGAAATCGTGGACTCACGGAAGTCCACCGTCTACACCTCCATCGTCCTGAACTCAAATATTCCGATGCAAGGCTGACTCTCCAAACGGCTACTTGCGGAGGTCGTCGAACTTGACGTCGAGACAGCAGGGTCTGTTAATCATCATAGAGTGGTTCCCAGAGATGAGCTGCTTTGTCATCACACATCTGATTTTGTGGATTCTCAACGACAAGCTTTCCGCTGGCCACTTCAAGAGTGCCGTTAGGATCGCTAAGACTTCCATCTCAACGGTAGCCTATGGCACTGTCCATCAGGGGTCCTCAACACCTGAGAAAGAAGTGATCGAGAAGGCCATCTAAGCTCCCATTAAGCGAGTGTCGGAGTCTCGGCGATCTTGTTAGTAGCTTGAACTGGCGGCTAACCTGCCCTGAGGATGAATCAAGGGTTAAGGATCGGGGATAGGTTCTTCAGCGGAGCGGTGAGTTACGGACTTACGAAAGCCGCTGACAAGAGCCCGGACAGGCGCCAAGGCCATTGACTATTTCACAATACGAAGTACAGTATCAGAGCGCGACCTCAAATACGGTGTAATACAGTGGCTAAGTAGCTCACGGAGCCAACGCGAATCGGAAATACCCAGTCAAAGGCCATAGGGCTCGGGAATATGTCTCTCTGTACTGTCTGGTCACAAAGAAGAACAGTTTGGGAGCGAAAAGTACCTAGTCACGATTCTTCGCAGTGTGTTGGGAGGATTCTAATAATATCAAGAACCCCAGGTTTCTATCCACAACACACATCTACCTAGTTTGTAGATACTCGTGTCTAATGGCCCATGTTCACGGCGCCGTCATGTCGACCCGGGTCGGTCGCTTGTCTTGCCGTAGTACTCGTACCTTTATCCTCCAGGACTACCTACATCGACTCCGTATCCTACCCCCTAAGTATTTCCTCTGCAATACATAATGTCACCTGCCGCTGAAGAATATATTGAGCACAGAAAGAGAAGAGAACATTGATTACGTGGTACTAGTACAATAATATACAGATACAGTGGGAATAGCTTATAGTCATCGAATCGTATCGAAAGATATTCCTATCTATAGCTATACGACTTCGGCCAAGAACGGTGAATATCATTACTCGGCCATCTACATAGTAAGGACACCCCTTGGCTACCTATAAACCCTTGCCAATATCTTTGAAGTGGCCAACGAATACGGTCGGCCAAAGAAAAAAGGAACAACGTTATACGCCACATGCTTATATCCAGGTCAGCCTGTATTACGAAGTAACGTCGCATAATGATCAAGGTTCAAAACGACAACACCGGCCGGATACATACCAACAATCAGCCGAGAATGCCCAATTCGTGGCTGGGCGAACATGATTAGAAAGATCGGCGGCGCCCATCAGTCCGAGCGTCGATAATACCCAGCCCTCTCGTGTTCGACAACTAGCGCTTATAAGAAAGAGGCGGAGTTTATTTGCACGCTGCAATCGACGACGTCGAGATAGAGCATCGGTACCTTAACTTTAAAGTCACGCAGATTCACACTCGAGGTAAGGTTTGGCGGTGTCCGAGAGGATATAAAGCAAGCGGGATTCCCTCGGGCAGAAACTCTGAACTCATCACCAACCACCGCCACCATCAGCAGCACCAACAACACCATCAACAACACATCACAAACAAACAAAACCGCCACCAACCAACCACCTGCTCTCCAGAAGACCAAACGTCATTTAAAAAAAACCAAAATCCATCAAAATGCGCACCGCAGCAATCTCCCTCTTCGGCCTCCTAAGCGTCGCCACCGCAGTGCCGGTGATCAACAGCCCCGAGGTCGAGATAGTAGTAGAAGCCTCGCACGGCGGCGCGGGCAGCGGGCTCACGAACACGACCATCACCGTGCCAGTCGGGCCGCTGTACACGAACAAAGCAGCGCTTGCCGCCGTCTCGACGCTGTACCTCCTCGACGACGAGACGGTTAGCTGCATACCCTACCAGTCCGAGGACGGCACGGGCACCCACGGGCTTCCGTTCACGGTCGGCCACCCGTCTTTCTTGTCTACCAACACTGTGGTCGTTGGTAGTATTCGGTGCACTAGCAACTAGTGCTTGCTCTTGCGGGATGAGCGTCGTCTCAGCGGTCGGAGTGGCCCGGATGGGGTCCCTTGTTGGGCTTAGGGGTTGACGCTCGTCATGGGATTCGGAGAGCTGTGGACTTGTTTTTGAGGGCGATTGTTGAGAGAGGGCTTTGTTGAGGTTGTCTTTTTATTTCTTGTTGGCGTTGGACTTTGGACGCCGTTTGTCTGAGCGTACAGGGGCATGGCGAGTCGTGTCGCCGTATCGCCATGCCTTTAATAGTTAATTACGTGGTTGGCGATTAATTCTACAGAATGTTGATGTCGAGCTACAATCTCATGAGTTTGTGGAGCCGCTTGGTGATGCCTGGTAGCTTCCATTATTCCCCTGCGCCTTTGTATTGGAGGTTATATCAGTCGATACTGACATCACGGCATCGATGGATCATATCAAGTGTCTTCTTATTCTCGAATCCTTCCCCTTCTCAATAAGAATACACTGACAATGGCTACCATAGTCGAATCATCTAGGTTAACACTGTTTTACGAACAGGCCTAGGGAACAAAGGAGACTGCCACGGGAAGATGCCAACGTGGCTTGGTTGAATATATTCGTATTGAGGTCTGTAAAGGCAGACTCGTAGTAGGGGGGCTAGATTGGAGTGTATAGCAGAGACACACACTCCGGCTATATACAAACAAACGTACATGAAGCAGCTCACCGGCACAACGCAGCGCATATAATGCGTGGCTGTCGTGAGACTCGCCGTAGGCCCTGACAAGCTGTGTATTCCGTCTGCTGCAGTCCGTAGTGAATAGCGTGCAAGCCCCTATTTACCACAGGAAAGGGAGATATGACCACAGACGTATATCCGACAGCAATCGTGCGCAATATTCTAGCCCAATACTCGATAGTAACGGGGGCAAACACCATAAACTGTCCTTAGTCGTCTGGCGGTATTCCGGCCCCAGTTTGCCACAAACATTAGGCTCGAACACCACCCATGTAGAGCTGCTGTCGGATAGAGGTCTGTGGTCATACATCCCCTTGGTATGATAATTGAGAGATAGCCCAGGACCTACTTTGGACTGCGGTGGACAGGGGTGCCGGCGCGTCAGGCCCTACGGCAAGTCTCGCAATAGCCATGCGTAATATGCGCTGGGTTGTACTGGGGGAAGCTCCGTGTACGTGTAGACAGAGGTTTGAGAGGAAAAGAAGAAGGTCGATCGATTAGGGAACTACTATGCTTATATATAAAATGTGACAACGTCTTGGTCCAGCGGGCGAGCACAAGGGGTGGTAAAGGTCATGGCCTGGTCTGGGTTAGCTTCGCCGCATACCAAAGAGGCACGCCTTGCCATGTGTAGGTGCTTCAACACGGTAACGATGCGAGTAGTTGGCGAACCGCAGAGACTACCTAATTGGTCTCACGTAAGGGCGGCCAGACACGTCCCATTTTGTCGCGTCGATCTTCTTCGAGCCGCCGCTTGCGGCATCGTCAGTTGCTCCTCCATTTTTCACCGCCGCTGTTCTAGCCAGCGTCCGCCATACCAGTTGTAGGCAACTTTGCGAGCACAATCCCCTACTTTTGTTTCTTTTCTTCCTTTTTCTCCGCAGGCTTCATACTTTCTCCTGGAACTCTTGGCACTGATCTGCACCAGCTGACGCTTCATTGGCGGCGGGATTCTGAGTAGCGCACTTGGTCTTTTCTTTTGGCCGCCTCCCCCTCTCACATTGTCGATATCTTAGTCATTCGTCGATACCGGTGTTGCATCTTCCAGTAGATCCCATGATAGCAAGTCGGGAACATCGTATCTGTAGACCAATAATTAGAGTGTAGAAAGTCCATCATGGCGTATTCTTGGCACGACCCTATCCGTCCTCAGGAAGATTAAATATCACAAGAACGTCATCATGATGCGGCCCATATAATGTATCAAAATTTCGCAGCAGCACCAATGGCGGCAGTTGTATTCATAGCAAATACGCAACACGGTTGTTGCCGCTTATGATAGTGCATCTTTTGCAGATCAACTTACGGAGGAGTGGATGAACTCGGACTCCAGGCTGGAGATCACGTCTTTATTGGGTCTGGGCCTTCACGAGCTCACTGCATGCACGGGGGACCCAGTACGATATGGTCCCCGACCTTGGCATCTGGTCGTCCAAGATCAAGTACATAGAAGAAAAAGCATATATGCCTCCTCAGGGTTGACATGCTATGACAGCAGGGCTGAAATAACACCCTTGACGAGGATACGTTCCTTCACGACGTGGATAGTTCCCGGGGGAATTGGAAAATTGGAAATGGGCATCCCACTGACTATCTCTGTCATGTAGTCGTTATACTTGAGTTGAGTCCAGGATTCTGAACATGCATCCTCAATTGCTTCTGGAAATTCACGGATATATATATACTCCGAGCTGTTGCCGCGTATGTTTCCGGTAACAAGTGAAGGCGGTTGCGCGAATAAAACAAGATGAGTCGCCCAAGAGCCTCCTTCTCAAGGCAAGT